CCTTGCAGTCCAAGGGACTCTCAAGAGTCTTCTCTCCAACACCAGAGTTCAAAAGCATCAATTCTTTGGTGCTCAGCTTTCTTTATAGTCCAACTCTCACATCCATTCATGACTACTGGAGAAGCCATAGCCTTGACTAGACGACCTTCGCTGGCAAAGTAATGTCTCTGCTTTTTCATATGCTAAGTTGGTCATAACTTTTCTTCCAAGGAGTTGCATCTTAATTTCATGGCTGCAATCACCATCTGCAGTGATTTTGGAGCCCCCACAAATAAAGTCTGTCACTGTTTCCACTGTTTCCCCATCTATTTGTCATGAAGTGTTGGGACCAGATGTCATGATCTTAGTTTTCTGAATGTTGAGCTTTAAGCCAACTTTTTCACTCTCCTCTTTCACTTTCATCTTGAGGCTCTATAATTCTTCTTCACTTTCTGTCATAAGGATGGTGTCATCTGCATATCTGAGGTTATTGATATTTCTCCCAGCAATCTTGATTCCAGCTTGTGCTTCATCCAGCCTAGTGTTTCTCATGATGTACTCTACATAGAAGTTAAATAAGCAGGGTGACAATATACAGCCTTGATGTACTCCTTTCCTGATTTGGAACCAGTCTGTTGTTCCATGTCCAGTTCTAACTGTTGCTTCCTGACCTGCATACAGATTTCTCAAGAGGCAGGTCAGGTGGTGTGGCATTCCTGTCTCTTTAAGAATTTTCCACAGTTTGTTGTGAACCACACAGTCAAAGACTTTGGCAGAGTCAATAAAGCAGAAATAGATGTTTTTCTGAAACTCTCTTGCTTTTTCTATGATCCATTGGATGTTGGGAATTTGATCTCTGGTTCCCCTGCCTTTTCTAAATCCAGCTTAAACATCTGAAAGTTCATGGTTCATGTAGTATTGAAGCCTGGCTTGGAAAATTCTGAGCATTACTTTTCTAGCGTGTGAAATGAGTGCAATTGTGTGGTAGTTTGAGCATTCTTTGGCATTGCCTTTCTTTGGGATTGGAATGAAAACTGACCTTTTCCAGTCCTGTGGCCACTGCTGAGTTTTCCAAATTTGCTGGCATATTGCGTGCAGCCCTTTCACAGCATCATCTTTAGGATTTGAAATAGCTCAACTAGAATTCTGTCACCTCCACCAGCTTTGTTCGTAGTGATGCTTCCTAAGGCCCACTTGACTTCGCATTCCAGGATGTCTGGCTCTAGGTGAGTGATCACACCATCTTGATTATCTGGGCTGTGAAGATCTTTTTTGTATAGTTCTTTTGTGTATTCTTGTACCTCTTCTTAATATCTTCTGCTTCGGTTAGGTCCATACCATTTCTGTCCTTTATTTTGCCTTTATTTTGCAAAGATACATGTATCTTTGCATGAAATGTTCCCTTGGTATCTCTAATTTTGTTGAAGAGATCTTTAGTCTTTCCCATTCTATTGTTTTCCTCTATTTCTTTTTGTGAGCTTGAGCACATTAACAATTTTATGTTTGTTTTCTCAACTATGAAAATGAGAGTCACTCAGTTATGTCCAACTCTTTGTGACCCCATGCACTGTAACCTGCCAGGCTCCTCTGTCCATGTAATTCTCCAGGCCAGGATACTGGAGTGGGTAGCTGTTCCCTTGTCCAGGGGATCTTCCCAACCCAGGGATTGAACCCAGGTCTCCTGCGTTGCAGGTAGATTCTTTACTGCCTGAGCCACCAGGGAAGGCCTTCTCGTCTATAAACGTGATTAATTAAAGTATACTTACCTCAGGATTTCCCTGGCAGTCCAGTGGTTAAGACTCCACACTTCACTGCAAGGTGCATAGGTTTGATCCCCAGTTGGGGAACAAAGATCCCACATGCTGCATGATGTGGTCAAAAAGAAAAAGGAATAGTATACCTACCTTATTAGATTGTTGAATGAATTATGTGATTTGATTCTTTAAACCCCATCACAGTGCCTGCTCGAAAGTAAGCATTCTAGTAGGAAACTTTCTCCTGTCTTTAGCTATTGTTTTTAACGGAGAATTTTTAGCAATTTATATACATCTCTAGTCCTGACTTATTTTCTAGACTCCATTCCCATATTGCTATCTACCTTCCAAACTTTTATGCCTAAATTTACTCACATATGTTTAATGAACAGTTACTTTGGGAGGTGGATAGGTTATGTGTTGCAGGAAATAGTTTCTGCCCTGTATTAATTTTCTGTTGCTGCATTACAAATTACCACAAACGTAGCTGCTTAAAACAACTCACTTTATGATGTCAGAGTTCTCTGGACCAGAGGTCTGACAGGAGTTGCGTTGGGCTGGATTCAAGGTGCTGGCAGGGCTGCTTTGTTTCCCGGAGACTCTGGGGGAAAATCCACTTTCAAGCTCACTCGGGTTGTTGGCTGTAGTCCTTTCTTTGGGGTTGTAGGACTGCGGTTGCTAGCTCTCAGCCAAGGGTTGGCCTTTGTGCCTGAAAGCTGCCTGTTCCTTCTCATGCTTACTGTGAGCTCCTCGAGGTCTATGTCCAGTGTTTACATGTGGACCTCTGTATCTTGGAGCCAGCAGCAACGTCTCTCTCATACTATGAATCCCTCTGATTTCCCCTTCTGCCATATCAGTTTTGTGCATCATTACAGTTCTGGACTGAGACAGTTCTCTAAGGGTTCATGTGATTTGATTGAGCCCACTCAGATAATCCAAGGTAATCTGTTGTAAGGTCTGTATCCTAATTACATCTGCAGAGTCCTTTTGGCCAATAACATAAAATATTCACAAGTTATGGAGATTAAGGTATGAGCAACATTGGCAACTGTTATTCTGCTTACAACATGCTGATGAAAAGCTTGAAATCTGGTTGGGATATGGACCAAAGTGACCAAATAAAACCATATTGAAGAGGCTGGTCATATATAGTAGGAAAACACAGGAAGAAGAGCATCAGTGACATTTGAGCTGAATATGGAAGTATGAGTGCTTGTTTGGTAAGGGGCTGGGTGAACATTTCAGGGAGAAGAAGCTATTATAGCGACAGCAGTAATAGTAACAATTGGCTGTACCAAGCACTTTTAAAGGTTATCTCACTGAAATTCTCGCAAATGGTAGATACTATTATTATCTACCATTATGGGCTTCCCTGGTGGCTAAGCTGGTAAAGAATCCGCCTGCAGTGCGGGAGACCTGGGTTCGATCCCTGGGTTGGGAAGATGCCCCGGAGAAGGGAAAGGCTCCCCACTCCAGTATTCTGGCCTGGAGAATTCCATGGACAGTCCGTGGGGTGGCAAAGAGTCAGACACAACTAAGTGACTTTCACTTCACCATTATATCTTCTACAGATGAAGCTATAATATCTTCACATATGGAATAGGAATGGTAAAATTATCTTATTGGGTAATTGAAAGAATTAACAGTGATTACACATGACTAAAGCATAACACATAGTAAAAACTGAAATCATGGTAGGCCAAAGAGAGTGGAGGGTGGAGAGGAGAAATACTTAGGGCGTAGAATTGACTAGACTTGGTCACTGGTCACAAAGGCGGGGACGGGGGAGAACTCACAGGACTTAGGGAACTTTCTGATTTAGGGGGTTTCATGGGTGATAATATTTAATACTGTTAAGAGGTAAAATTGGGTTTTGTTTTTAGTGAGGAGAGGGCTTTGAGAAGGTATCTGTGGGAATATTTGTTTGAAATTTAGAGTAGAATAGGATAGATCAAGCACTCAGAAGAGGGGTCAAAGATGAAGTTGTCACTATGACTTCAAATTCATCAGGTCTTAAACAGGTTCCTCATTTTAACTTGCCTGTTTCTTCTCAGCATTCTTTTGTTTTCCTAAGCTTGGTATCTTCTTTTACCCTTGACTCCCAACTGACTGAAGAGGGCAGGAAAAAAAGACCTTTATGCAGTGCTTACAGACTGCTGTGTGTTTGCAGATTTCCGTGGTGTAGGTTCTCCTGCCACAGCCCATTTCAGACTGCTCTGCTTTTGTGCTACAGCCGTGGAGTTCAGTAGCTACACCAGAGACCACGTGGGTTGCAAAGCCCAAGATATTTACTGCCTGTATCTCTCCAGGAATAGTTTGCCAACATCTGCTGTAATGTCTCTAAAAAGATCAACATGATATAAAATATATAAATATTGAATATATTTATAAACTATAAATATAAATATGGAAGGGTGATTCCCTATTTCTGTTCACTCTTTCTTTTCATTAAGATGGGTAGGGGGAGTAGGTGGTTTGAGGGGGTGATGTGTGAAATTATGAGGGGTCTTGAGGTTATTTTTTGGATGTATGCTTTTTCTCTGAATAAGAAAAGTGATGCATGATATAACATAATTTTTTAAAAAGAAAACCTGCCTTAACTATTTTGTTATTTTGAGACTAGAACATAGGGCAGCAAAGATAGAAGCAGAGAAATCTGTTGGGAGGCCATTGTTATAATCTGGGTAAATCTTTGTTTCATTCAGGGTAATACCTGTGGAAGAGGTGAGGTGAGTTCAGATTCTGGATACAGTTTGAAGATAGAGCTGGCAGGATCTGCTGATGGGAAAGGAGGAGTTAAGGATGAGTCCAAATGGAGAAGTAGCGCCAGAAGGGTGCCTTGGGTTGGAGCCTGACTTATTGAGATCACATTGCAGCAAGTGGCTACGTTTGAGGTTTGGGGAAGAAAATTGAGACTTCAATTTCTGTAAAACAATTTTTTTTTTTTTACTTAGCCACTTAATGTTTCATAAGGAAAAGTTCTTTTTCTAAAGTAATACTTCCTTTTAAGAATTATATTTTAAAATAAATCTAGGAAAACATGGTAGTGTTTCTAAAATATGGCATTTTTAGAAAGGAAATACCCTTTGGATAGGATTTTTCACAGTGTGATTTGGTGACTTAAAAAAAAGCCTATTCAGAAATTAATGGTTTTGGCTGAGTCAGTTTCAGCACTTTCCCCCCAAACCTTTAGTGCGGTTTCAAAAAGTTATGAGTTCGTATTTCATTGTATTGTAAATGATTTATTACTCATGTCTTTTTTTGTAGGTTTTACTTGTAATGGACACAAGGACAGAACAGACATTTATTTTAAAAGTAAGTAGAATTTTTCTGTTTAATGAGTTTAGAAATGTATTTTCAAATTATGCTTCTGAAAGAAAGTATTTAATTTTTTTCTGGGTGTTTGAATGGCTTTTTTTGTGTTTGTAGTCACCTGGATTCACTTTACTTTGTGTCCTTCCATCACAGTTGATAAATACTCTGTAGCATACATTTAAAAAGAGTGTGGAGGAAATAATTTAGATAAGTTGAAGACTCATTTTGTGCTGTTTAAATGTATAGTGTATAATTTAAATACATCTCTAATATATTTTACATAATTTATGAAGACCACATATAATCATACTTTTGATTATGATTACAGTTCTTAAGAGCTGAAATTTTACCTTAAAGTCTTTGTTAAAGGTATTTGGAAAAATGTTATCTACATCCCTGGCCATGTCTTTTACCTAAATTCAATTTTAATTCTCTGTATTACTCAATTTGTAATTAAGTGAATAAGGGAAGAAACCCCCCTCAACTTTGTAATTTCAAAATTGTATTTGAAGTGGATTTTGATAGTGCAATATTCTAAAAGTATCCTAATTTTAAGCATTTCCTCAGCATCCAGAATTAATGAATTTCAAATCAGTGTTATGTTTTTCTGATATTTTTTCTTTTACTTATCAGCATGGCAGTAGGTCACATTGACATACACGGAAATAAATTTTTCTCTCTGAGTATACTTTATTGCTGATATTTCCTCAGGTTTTTAAACCATGGTATGACGTGAGAAACTCCACATACCTTGTTCCTTTGGAGAAAACTTAAAATGATCTTCATATTTTTTTGTAATAGAATTTCAAAACTGCCCGTTTAATCTCGGAATACCTTTTGTGTCTCAGGAATTTGAATTGATCTCACGATGTCTACTGCTTTGAAGATACACATAAGTAAAATAAAACTTAAGAAAAGGTCATAGAGAAATAACTGTGTGTCATCCTGATGACTTAGTTTGAGAGCATCTCTAATAAAAACACTGACCCACGTAATTGATTTTAATGGCAGCTTTGTGGCATCTTCAGTGCTCTGGACTCACGCCAGATGCCATCAGCAGAGCCTCCAGGGACCGAGGGGCATAGAGCAGCAGATGAGTGGTTTCTCTGAAGCCCAGAGTAACTCGGATAGATTAGTTTGGTTGATAAACACAGGGCGCAGCAGGCTCCAAAGGCAGCTGAGGGTACAACTGACCTTTTTGTTCTCTGTCAGGGTCTAAGGAAAAGCAGCGAATGCAGCAGGAACAGAAAGACCATCGTCCCCCGCTGTGTGCCCAACATGGTGTGCCTGCACAAGTACATCATTTCCGAGGAGTCAGTATTTCTTGTGCTGCAGCACGCAGAAGGTTGGTTTGTAGCTTAAATTGTTTATGCATTGAAAGCTAAGCACCCTTCTTAGCTTTTTAGTCTCTATAATGCCCTTTTTCCTTCTGTCATTACTTGAGTGGATAAAACATATGAAACACATGTAAGAAACGGTTTCCTTATGCCTCTGCTCATGCCCCCCCGCATCCCCCACTTTGAGTTGCGAGGGACAGTGAAAGCCCAGGCGAGCAGCAGATTTCATTTGAACTGTAGGAACATTCTTAGATACGCTTAGCTGCTTCCTTACTCCGAGGATGGGTCCAATATGATGAGAACTTTAATGTGGCCGTGTGCTAAGAGGACTAGGTTTTATCTTAGGGATTTCTCTTGTTCTCTGCTGAAAAGATACATTAATGTTAGATGACAAAATGAAAAGCATCCCCTGAAGAATTAATTAATTACCTCCTTTTTTAGAAAGCATAGGTATTTGCTTAACGTTTGACATTAACTAGTTATTCTGATCTGGGTTTTTATGAATACAGCCATTGGCATCACATATGGGTACAAGGCAGGGGTGTAGTGCTCTGCCTTCAGACTCTTTATGAGATTTCAGCTCTTAGTAAAGGGAACAGGTGGCAAAAAAAAATACTAAATTTTGGTTTGTTTTTGCCCTTTAACACCTGAATTTAAATAATTAGTCTTTTATTAAAATGAACATAGCATATAAATATAAATGCACAAGATAAACATTGCCTTTTGGATTTTGAGAGATATTTTTAAAATGGTAAAGAAAATTAAATTATTTTCCATATTTCAAGAAGGTGTTGTTATTATTTTTACGTCACTGAGCATAAAGAACTGTTGTGCCCTAGTAATAGGCGTAACACTTGAACCGAATGCATTTTGCTAGGAAAATGAGTCATAGCTTTGTGGGATGAGGTCTCTTATGATAACTAATGTAAGATTTTTGACAGGGGCAATAAACTATTAATATTGTTTATTATGAAGTACAGCACAAGATAACTACAGATGGAGGGAAGACCTCCATATGTAGTATTTAATAGGAAATTCAGAAGGGGCTCCATGGTCTCTCAGGTATTAAGAGAGTTAATTGCGTGTGTGAATTGGATAACTAATTCACCTTTGTTCAGACATTATAGACAGCTTTTATCTGAGGATACCAGTGCATTACAGACATTATTGAATTAGAGGTCATGTCATCTGATAGCGAAATACAGCCACCTCTGGTGTGGAACAAAATAACTTGCGTAGTAATAATCCATAATAATTTAGAACAAGGTCAGTAGGATGAATGTAATTATAGTCAATATTCTATTACCCAGTGTGGATTATTCATGTTGGAGATAATCTGGTAAATTTTCAATCCTAGTTTACCTCTGCTATTTGAAGCTTCCTCTTCCTGTTTTTCCTTTTCCTTCTCCAAATATTTTTTCTTATGCCATCTTCTTATCATTTCTTATACTTCCTAAAGCTCATATTTCAACTGATTTTACCTTATTACTATAGAAGATGTTTATAATCTGCTTTAAAGCCGTAGACATGTGGCTTTCAAATTTTTCAGTTTTAGATCTGTTTGTTATCTTCACCAAATAGAGAGCTCTTTTTCTTTGCTGTTGACCATGCCTGCCTTTGAATGATCACATGGCCATGGAATTTGTCCTGGATTATTTAAATGGGGGGGAGGTGAGGGGGGATGGGGGTGGGGAGAGGAGAGGAATTGCTTTTGACAGTTCATTTGGGTGTTTATTGTTCAATTTTAAAAAGATTTTATAATACAAATAGATAGTAGTAGAAATAGGGACTCTGAATTCATTTAATATTCAGCAAATTTATTGAGTATGTGCATTCTATTAGGCTTTCTTTTTGATGAACAAGACAGGAAAATAAACTTACTTCTTGTGGAGAGTCCAACAGAAAACAAGAGTGATACTATCAGCTAATAATGGGGACTATGCTCATTTCTGGGGCTTCCCAGGTGGTGCTAGTGGTAAAGAACTGGCCTGCGAATGCTGGAGATGCCAGAGACAAGGGTTCGACCCCTGGATCGGGGAGAGTCCTTGGAGGAGGGAATGGCAACCCACTCCAGTATTCCTGCCTGGAGAATACCATGGACAGAGTAGCCTGGCTGGCTATGGTCCATAGAGTCACAAAATATTGAACACAACTGAAGCGACTTAGCCCACACTCATGCTCATTTTTAACACAGAGTGATCTAATCGAGAGTGACTGGGTGACAACTTTAGTTTTTCAAGGAAGTCTACTCTAAAAAGTGATATTTTAGAGGAGTTCTGAATGACAAAAGAAATAACCCTTTGAATGTAAGGTGGAAGCCTGTTCTAGGTATAGGGATCAGTGTGAAAAATTGAAGGCAGAAGCAAACTTGCTGTGTCTGATGAACAAGGATGGAGACCATTCAGTTGGATCTAGCAAGCAATCGACAGCTTTGGTGGTATATGAAGCTACAGAAGAAGTAGGCAGGAGCAAGGTAGAGACTTTGGCTTTCATTCAAGGGCACTGGGAAATGATTGGACATTTTAAGCAGTGACAAGGTCTGATTCACATTCAAGAAAATCCCTCTGACTGTTGTATGTGGAATGTATTTTAGAAAGTCAAGAGGAGACCAGTGAGTAGGCTAGTAAAGTAGCCTGGGCAAGAGATGATGATGGCGTGGTCTTCTGGGATTCTAGTGGAGTTGCTTTGAGGGTAATCAATGGGACCTATGTGGGCTTCCCCGATAGCTCAGTTGGTAAAGAATCCACCTGCAATGCAGAAGACCCTGGTTCAGTTGCCCAGTCGGGAAGATCCTCTGGAGAAGGGAAAGGCTACCCACTCCAGTATTCTGGCCTAGAGAATTCCATGGACTGTGTAGTCCATGGGGTCGCAAAGAGTCGGACACAAGTGAGCAGCTTTCACTTCTCGCTTTCAGTGGGACCTGTGATGGATTTGAGGTTAGGGAGAGAAGACTTTAGGATAAATTCCTGGATTTGGCATGAGCAGTCAGGTGAACTGGATGGCAGACAGTGTGTTATCTTTTACGTGTCGCTGGTACTTTGTCACCTCTGTGAAATAGGAGTTTGTGCTTTTATCATAAAAATACCACTTTCCTATGCGTGAGTAGCTATTACTGACAAAGTAAACACTGAAGAACTGTTTTCTCCATAATATGAATGCTTGAATATTTATGATTTAGGCTTTAAGTTCCCTTTGCTTATAGAACTATTCATTTTTCACATGAGTCTCTTGGACTAATTTTCTTAACATTTTAATTCATTCAGTTAGAAATATTTTGGGCACTCTCTGGGCTCTTAGTTTTAACATGCATGCTTGCATGCTAAGTCACTTCAGTTGTGTCTGACTCTTTTGTGACCTTATGGACTGTAGCCCACCAGGCTCTTCTGTCCGTGGGATTCTCCAGGCAAGGACACTGGGGTGGGTTGTCATGCCCTGGGATCTTCCCAACCCAGAGATTGAACCCACGTCTCTTACGTCTCCTGCATTAGCAGGCGGTTTCTTTACCATTAGCACCACCTGGGAAGCCCTGGTTCTAACGTGTTCTGTGCTCACTCGCTCGGTTGTGTCCGACTCTCTGCAGCCTCATGGACTGCAGGGTGCCAGACTCCTCTGTCCATGGAATTCTCCAGGCAAGAATACTGGAGTGGCTTATCATGCATGCCCTTCTCCAGGGGATCTTCCCAACCCAGGGATCGAACCCAGGTCTCCCGCATTGCAGGCAGATTCTTTACCGTCTGAGCCACCAGAGAAGCCCCAGTTCTAACGTGGTAACGAGCAAAACGAAGAATATGCCCTCGTGGAATTAACAGTATAGAGGCAGAGCAGACAGTAAGCAGATACATCAGTAAATATATGAGGGAATGCCAGAAGGGTGAGTTGAGGGTTTCTATTTTACATAGAGTGGTCGATCTTATTAAGAAGGGGACATTTGGCAAATGACCTGAGGGAAGTGAGAGAGCGAGCAGATGTGGGCGTGGGAGGGAAGAGTGTCTCAGCAACAAGTGCATAGGCCTGGAGGCAGGAGTGTGTTTGCAGCAAGGTCAGCTGTGGCTGGAGCGGAGGGAGGGTGATAGGAAACAGTCTCCGGGAGTGCGGGCACACGTGGGCAGGACTGGCGTGCTCTCCTGAGACACTTTAAGAACATGGCTTTATTCTGAGTGGGTAGGAGGTTACTGGGGGATAGTGAGCGGAGCAGTGACAAGGTAGGGATCACTCTGGTTGCTTGGTGAAAAACAGAACCTAGGAGGGAAAATAGAAGTTAGGAGGGAGACCATTATGGAGGTTGTTGAAGTAATCCAGGAGAAGTCGACGCTGGCGTGGAGGTGGTGAGAATGGTTATTAGATCATGATTGCATTTTGAAGACAGAACTGGCAGGGTTCTGCCTTGTATGACTCCATGGTTTGGGGCTCAAATAACTGAAAGAATGGTTTCCATCTACTAAGATGAAGAAGGCTCTGGGAAGAGTAGATTTAGAGAGAAAAACCGGAGATCGAGTGTTGGACATTTGAGTTTGAAAGTGAACGTGTTAGTCGCTCAGTGCTCTCTGACTCTTGGCAACCCTTGGACTGTAGCCCACCAGGCTCCTCTGTCCATGGAATTCTCCTGGCAAGAATAGTGGAGTGGGTTGCCGTTTCCTTCTCCAGGAGATCTTCCCAACCCTGGGATTGAACCCAGGTCTCCCACATTGGAGGCAGATCCTTTACCATTTGAGCTAACCGGGAAGCCCCTTTTGAGTTTGAGTTGCTTGTTAAATTAAATTTCTAGGTGGCGTTGAGTAGGCAGTTGGAAATGGCAGACAGGATTTTAGGAGAGAGGGTTAAAACAGGTATTGTTCCTATGAATAGATCTCTTATTTTAATTCTGTTTGAAGAAGAAAAGGTGGGAGAAACAAATAAATTCAGTCAAGGCTATGCATATCATTAAAAACTTCAGGTTCCTAAGATTACGGATTATGATTCATTGTGTATACAGATACCCGCACTTACAGGAATGCTTGGTACACAGAAG